AACTGGTCTATGTTGTAGATGAGTAGTTTTGCTTCACTGTGGTGACATGAGAAACGAATCCGATCCGATCGACGTTTTAACTGCAAAAATCATGGATAAAGTAGCTTGTTTAGGCCCACTCATATACCCCTAGTCCTAGAATTTTGTCCTGCAAAAACGGTGGTTATAGAGTTTTGGGGGGTGGGGAATAGGGAAGGCAGAGAAAGGAAATCTTAGAAGTAAGTCTAAAGTCGAACTTGCTTCCCACGGCCGCTGGGAGTAAGTTGTTCCGCATGTAAATTGAAGGTGTGCGTGGCACTTCGCGCCGCGGACTATACTAAAGTAACTCCAGAACAGTAAGTTTGACCTAAGGTAAGTTGAAGTAGATGACCTCCTAACCACCAGGTGGTGGTGGTGGTGGTTGGAGGTCCCGAGGCGTGATAAGCTCTCGTCTGCGCGCGCGTCTATTTGTCAATGTGATGTGGACAGGAAGGCTTAAACAGCATGCGCGAGTGAGTCACTGACCTTTTGATCAGTTGCTTGACCTATAACAGTTTGTAGGCGTATCGCAGGGGACTACGTAAGTTAACCCCTAGCAACTGCGATCTTCATGCCCGGTTCCTTAGAAGAGGAGAGAAGTCATTACAGGCCAGTTTGATAGGAAGTATTTATTCTGTACAGATTAAGGGGATAAGAGGGAAGTCATGCTTATAACGGCCAGGCCATGTGTTATTGAGGAAACCAGATCGATTACATATCAAATAATAACATGCATTAATTCATTTGGCCTACTTTGAGGCCTTGAATCATTTAGAAGAACGCCCGAACTTTTTAGACGCTTTCTTATAATCCATTGGTGAGACGCTTCAGGCAAGATTGCAAGCGTGCTGCCCCAATGAGTAGCACTATGATCATCGGTGGCACTATCGCAGGGGATTAGATAAGTTAAACCCTGGCAACTTCGATCTTCAGACCCGGTTGCTTAGGAAAGGAGACAAGCCAATTGAGGCCGGATGGGTAGGAAAAGTCATTCTGTACAAAAGGAATGGGAGAATAGACAAAAGGACCTTGTCTGTCTAATGACCGCATAACCGCTAGCCAGCGGACGGCATCCTGTCTGCTCGACAGTCGTCACATAAGGCCCTTTTTGAGTCGGCCTGTCATCGGCTATTCCATAGGCCGGCGGCAGCAAGCATTCACACATGTATTTCGACTGGAGTTCGTCACGACAAACGTTTACAGGTGCGCTTCGTGGGAAGCTAGTCACTACAAGCGTCTGTGATTGGCTGTCCCAGTGGCAGGTCAAAAATTATGATAGCGTGAACGCTTGCACGGCATTGCACCGCTGCGGGAGGGTGTTACGAGATTGTCAAATGATCAGATTATGGGACATTCGGGTCCGGTTGCGCCTTGAAGCTTAACGCAGAGCTGGCAGGATTCGTTTTTGGATGCATAGTCGTCTTCAACTAGTGACACCCAACCCAGAGTCTGGATAAGCAAAGATTTTAACTCGGATGCTGTGTTCATCGCGTTTTGTGTCTGTCCATCTACCCTTAATGATAGAAGCAAACAGTTGAGTTACAGGAAGCAGAAGATATAAGCGTTGCAAAAAAGAAGTTTATTTGTCTGACGTTTTGGATTCTGCTTTGAACACATCCTCAAAGATAACCGCAGAAAATGGCGATAAGTGCATAGCTTACGCAGTATTTATAATCTCTATTGGTCAGGCGACTAAAAGTTGCAGCCCAGCGGGCATGGCTATCCGCGCAACTGTCCCAGCCAGTGCATATACAAATGAGACAAGGCACCATATCCTACCGGCCCTATAGTTTGACGAGCTCTTCCGTACGTGAAGCAGTTATCAGTTGGGGTTGTCCACGGGCCGGAACCAACCATCAGGCGCCGGGTCATTAGGCCGAAAGACTTTGTGCCATGACGGGAAACGGCTGTAGTGTTTTACCGGATCTGGTGCAGTTTTGGACAAAGCAAATACGTCGGAGAAATCGGGTGATTGCTCCGGACGCGATTGGCTGGGCATACAGTGACGCTGATGAGGAAAAAAGCTAGCCTCCTGGTTGTTGCTCACTCGACGGGACTCTGCCATATTTTCAAATTTAACAAGACCAAAATCCTCGCTAGCTCGGGTGAGCTGTGAGCTGCTCCAGTCATGGTTCTTAGGCCCACAGCCCATCAACAAGCGCAATTACTTGCTGTTGCCATTTTCCGTACTGAGAGATTGTCTGAGCAGGGGAATTAGTCAATTGGAAAGAGCGCTGATCTAAAACAATTTCCATGCTAATGAGCCAAATTTTCGAGTTATTATTAGGTAAACACAAATGATGAAAAATGGCGGCAATTAAAGACTCATACAGTATGCGCCAGAATTCATTCGACGTGCCGACATATGCAGTGTAGCAGTCAACAGGTTTCAAAAGTATTCGGAAATTTAACAACTTTTTTGAAACCGAAAGATAGCTTTTCTTTAAGTATAAATTTACAGAAGGCATACTTTGCTACTAAACGCGTACAAGAAATAATTTTTTCGTGCCTGCTTTCTGTAAGATATATTTGAATTTATAAAGGCAGTAAAAATCAATGACAAAAACGCATACTAGTTAAGTATTTACGTTTTACAGTACATACGTTTTGTTAGTGGTCAGAACGAAGCTCGTATAAAAACCCGCATCCTATCATGGCTGAAATAACTTCAGAATGGGCTACACGATAATCAGTATCAAAACCTAAGTCAATGCCAATTAACGAGTGAGAGTATCAATCTTTCGCATATGTGGGCATGTTGCACGAAATCTGGCGCGTACGGTACGCGGACTACCGAGCCATCATTGCACCAATCAAACCCCCAGCGACGATCACGGCAACTGCTAATTCTAGTGCACCCTTGGTCGGGTGACCGCTGCAAAGTATAAATACTGCGTATCCTGTGCATTAAGCTCCCTTTTCTGCGGTTATTTCTGACGATGGATTCAAGCCAAAATCCGAAATTTCAGGTAAAAAACTGTCTTGCTCCAGCGATCACATCTTCTAATTTTGATCCACCATTGAGCCATGCGCCCATTGTCCATCCGATTGTGAGTATGAATTTCAAATATCACGCAGAATCGATCACCGGTGGAGTAACGGCTTCTTTATATTCTTGATGTTCCCATCACGGCAGCAGGTCCATAGCTGAAGGCTAGGTCGTGAGAAGTACCTTCTCCCCCATTCGGACCAGCACTGCACCGAATCATTTCTAGTGAGAGAGGACTCCCTAGTGTGTAAGTTCTTCCAGTTTTACCGCCAATGTTTTTGTTATTACTCGATCAGTAGGCGACAAAAAATAGACAATCGGTTTCTGGGAGCAAACACTTTAATATGAGGTTTTGGCAAATTTAAATAATTTTAGCAAGCATTTTATAGAAAGCCAACTGAATATGCCGGACTGTTAAGCTCCTCAGCTTTAGCCTATTTATAAGGCTCTGCCAGTTTGCGGACATTCCTGCCAATGGCGTGCAAGGGCCGTTCTGGAAATCCTGATCTGCACGCTGATTGGTCGTTTCCAGCGTTGGGAAATTCCAGTATATTTGGGTCGCACGCGTGCTCTAAGCAACACTGTGCGCCGATTGGCCGCGCGTATGACTCAGTTGGCTTGGCCTTGTGCGGCACCTGTTGTCACGTGATATTGACGCCTTCCGACTCCCGTCTCCGTAACAGCCCTATTTCCGTTGTAGGTGCACAGATGCCTTTGTAGGCATGCTCACCATGGGAAAGAATCTGACCGCCGACCATCTTAAGCGCAGCCTCACCGCCATCGTAAGGCGACATCAACGTGAAGGAGGCGACACCAATCCCACGGTCGAGTTGATGACTCACCCTGGTTATCCTTTGACGAAGGCGAATCTAGCGAACGCAGGCTGTGCTGACAATCTGGGACCAGACGATTTCTCTCGCTCGCCCGACAGGGCTCATGAGATGGGCATGCTTCGGAGTCGTGAATTTGGGGAGGTTGTAAGGGCCTTTTCCGGACATTTGTACGGTTTCGCTGACCTGGCTTGAAAGCTCTTGCAGCCATCGGTCTCGCTTGAATTGCCCCGTTAACTGATTTATTATCTGTCCTTTTTCAGATCATGTTTGCTCGGGAATTCCTCCAATTTTTAAAATCCTTCCAATCTTCTTCTTACACTTACATGCCAGGATGCCGCAAAATATAATCTGAAGTCAATTACGTTCCTTGGTTTATTTTCGATTTTGGTCCGTCCGGTCGTCCTCTGACGGTCAGGGAATTTGCAGAAAACCGTTAACATTTCAAACATGATTAAAAAACGACATCAAGTGTTCCTTCAAGAGCCCTTGGTGGCAATCGACAAGGGCAAAGGATACTAGGATGGTTAATTCTAGCTTATTAGCTGTCCCCAATAATCCAAACTCAACGCTACATTGTAGAACGTTAGGCTTCTGTACTTTCAGTGACCAAATAAAACTGAGTCTGAATCCCGGGTTATCCAGGCCTTGGACTATTTATGGCTGCCTAATAACGGCTAATAAGCGGGATATGGTCAAACGAGTGTGTCTTGTTTTTGTCGTTATTCCCATATAGATTGCTGTGTATGCCTGCATGTGATGTCGGGACATCCTGCCGCAGTTCGCGCAAGGTCGCGGACGCGCGTTATTCCTTTCTTTATTCTGACTGGCTATCTTTCAACCAATACCGTTTGAGCTCCACTATAAAGCCCTTGGTTAAAATGACTCACACGCAAAACTGTTTCCTCATCCTCAGCACACTTCCTGCTTACGAGCAGTCCTCTGTTTTGCCGATACAACATTCTACCTACAAACTGCCTTCTGTTTTGAATATATAACCTAGGTGATGCTTAAAAATCCGCCCCACCTATCATCTTACCCCCTCATAATGTATAAACATATTGACATTGCCGGTGAAATGACAAAGGTGACGGGAATGCCCATTTCTGACTTAGTAACCGTCATCAGCTCGCCATACCCAACCCCAGGTGCTGGAAAACGCAACTTGCTGGAAGAACCAAGCTCAAACCCATTGTCCCATGGGCTCCCCCTCTTTCCCGTTTTTAGGATATATAAACAGTTATAAACTGACGCCCACCTACCGATTGCGGACTAGTAGGGGTGGAAGGATGTAAGTGCAAGACACTGCTGCCAGACAAAGCCAACTGGCAATTTTTGTCAGTTTATTATCTAAGGGTTTTGCAACTCAGAAGATGAATTGGCGAACATACATTTGTTTTCAAAAAATTATCATCAGGCCTTTACATTTATATGGTAATTAAGTAAATAGACTGCGTTGGTTGGTAGACAAAAATAGTACGGTTGTCAGGGGGGGGGATCGAGTCAAAATCTGATCGGCGTTAAGGGGGAATGGTAGTTGGCCGAGGTGATAATCTGCTGGCTGTTGGATTAGTGGCTTTTGCCCATGGTAACTGCGGCACCGCGACGAAGTTCTTTTGGGCGTACAGGACCGGTCGGCGTAGCCTGATGGCGGCTGCTTCAGCCGTAGCCAACGGACGCTATCTAAATAGTTTTGAATAGCTTGAGGGTACCTTGTAGATCCTCAGAAGGCCTCTCTGATATCCACATGGTGCTCTGAGTCTACTAGGTGCGCTAGAATGACACTGTTTAGAACCTTTAGTTGGCCCATGCTGGAATGTGTTCTCATACTCTTTTGGATAAAATCCGGCTCGTGCTGCCAAAAGCCGGTGGTTTTATAGTAAGTCCGTCGGGAGTGCAAGCCCAACATCAAACGAAGATAAATTTTACGGCGTCAGTTTTCTCCATCGTTTACTGTTAGTCTTATCGGACTGGATCCTTTCATCAGTGCCCTGAGTTGTTTTTCCCAGTGGCTTTGAAAAACTACCTCGTAATATTTCTTGGTTTAAGGTATGCATTTGGTGAGTATTCTTAGTAGATAATTTATTCGGCAAACAACTACGTCGGAGAAATTGGTAAATTACTCCGGACGCTAATGACCGAGCATGCAACGGCGCCGAGGAAGAACGACGCCAACTCCCAGATTGCAGCTCATTCGACGGGACCCGGCCATATTTTCAAGTTAAACGAGGCCGAACTCTTCGCAAGAGGTGACAACCGCGTGAGCCGTGAACTGTTCGAGTCATGGTTCTCGGGCCCCCAGTCCATCAACAAGCGCAACGATTTGGC